TCGCCGTCCACCTCTCCAATAGTGACACTGTAACAATTGTTACCATTCGACCCGTCGCCGCCTCCTTTGAACTACGCCACCTTTCTACAACTGTTGTCCATCGTCTAAAATTTGTAAAAGCAGATTCAAAACGAAAGTTTGTAGAGGCAGTGCATTAGTTTGAGCAAAAGATCTGGGACTTGATCACAAGGATCGTAATCGCGGCTAGGGTCTGTGCGGATGAAGGCACTTGGCGGAAAACTTTTCACTTCTATCGATAGACCCTCTGATAGCATATAATTTGACAGCCTTGTGTTGAGGGATCCAGTGAGACAAAGATCCAAACACGATACCCATTTGTTAAGTTATACATACTATTTGTTGGAATCCAAATGCAATTTTTGTAAATATATGTACTGCGCTTTGGAATGCTTCTATTTTGACAGATCAAATGTGATCGATTGAACAATATGTTAGTGTAGCACTATTTATAGTTGTGTAATAGGCAATGTACATACATGCAATTGTCCCAGGTTATCGTTTCACAGGCTGGGTATTGTATCGTAAGATCAATGCAGAGCAACTGGATTTGGGATCTGATCCCACTTTATCAAGTTGGATAAGATCCCAGAATCCAACCGTCATACATATCTGTCCTTTTTTGTCGAATCCTTTGAGAGAAATGAATACACGTCAAGCAGCCTGTTGTCAATAGGATCATATATCCTATTCCTAGCCTCCGTTCGGCATTTGACCTTGAGACCCACAGAATCCCAAATCTAACACTCGGATCCATGAACATTGCCACGAGGTATAACTTTGTCTCAATAACTGCACCCAGCCGTAGCGTTGGCCAAGCCATTTATCGTCACAACTGAAACACTTTTGGGTTAGGTTCTGCACTGAAGAAAATGGTGTACGTTGGGAGCTATGATCCGCCTTTCTCCGCGGCTGCCCGGAGGCGGCAGCGCGGTTCGGCCCGGTCCGGGCCGCTCCTCGCGGGTCAGTGGGTTCACGGACGGACCGGGGCGTGTTCACATGGCAATATCGCGCTTTACTATCGAAACCCACCGCCGGTGCATGTAGTCTTGCCATGCAAACGCGGCGTTTGTCAAGCCATTACTGTCGCGAGGCGGCGGTTCGCGGAACGCCGCAGCTATGGAAGGCCGTTCCCCGGCCGGGTGATGGCGGCGCGGCGTGGCGGCCGGCTCCCACCGCTCCCCCCACCCCCACCACCCCGGCCCCCACCCGGTTCAGGCCCCGGTCCGCCAGCCGCCGCCGGCGTCCCGCGGACGGACGGACGGCCTCGCCATGTGCAGTGTGCACTGTGCAGGCCGCCGTTATGTAACCGGTCGCCGCTGCAAGGAGGATCTTATTGCGCCGCGCCGCGCCACGCCACACTGCCGGTCGGCGACGCTAGATACAACCCAGATTGGGGAGGGTCAGGAAATTACCAAATAATTAAAAGTAGCAATATCCCTCAGGAGCCTTAACGTCATGTTTCCACTAGAAGCTAAAACCGTGCAGTTATATACCATTGCAACCTTTTGGATATTAGAATGGGATGCAGAAAACGTGGCTCCTGGAATGCTTTGCAAGAATACAGAAAACAAAGTCCGAAGCCGAAAAAATTGTCGTAAGCTAGCCATTAGCTGACGTGGAAATAGGCACTTAAACAATAATGTTGAAAAGTATTTAGTTGGATGCATAATGATACACGATGAACGTTAGTCCATCTTGCAATTCTAGTGAATCAAAGGGAGTAACTACTTGGTTTATTCTATAGGCCATATGATGTTATGAGCTAAGATATACAGATGAGCATGTTTTGCCTTATTAACAAATATTAATTTGACAGCAAGAAAAACAGTTTCTTCTACACAAAATCAGCATATTTAGACATGGCTATCTACTTCGACGAGATGGCAACGTGATATGTAGGTACAATTTATGATCGCTTAGCATTTCCGTTTACAATGCAATTTCTTTCTAATACGGAGGACAATGACATTTTCTAGGCAGCACGAGACCCTGTAGGCATAAGGTCAGCAAAACGAAACTCCTCCGACGATGAATGAAGTCAGATCAATCATTCTACTACGTCAACTTCAATTTCCTTCTACAATTTAAGCCACCATTACCTATCACTGAGCAATATGGCAAATGCAGGAAAAGGAATCGATGACGATTCGTGCCCACCTTTAGCACGTGAATGACAAATCGGTCCACGACTGACGAGTGACGCCCTTCGATTTACGGCACATCATATCGAGCTCATCTCAGTCGAATTCACAGGAATTCGATGAATTCACAGATGTATTTGGCTGACGAGTCACCAAGCCCGAGTACATTGGTGATGCATGAGTGAAGTTAAATAACGTAGCAAAGGTTTTTTCTCTCTCAGCCTGTCCGTTCGAAAACGCAAATAACACAGTTGAAATCAAGTACCTGCCTATAACTCTTGAGGTGGCAAAAAAGGCTGCCTGTTTTTATCGAATTAAATAATGGTAAAGTGACGCATATCTGCATATTTATAGAAACCACTTCCATTCATGACCTCCAAATGGCTTTAGGAATGACGCTCGTTTCCAAACTAGAAGCGCCGCTTTAACATTTTGCTAGAAAAAGGACCTTCCTTGCATTCCATTCCTCACGTTTGGGTCTACCAGCAAATATGCAAAAATAAGTGTTATATGCGTTCCACGCACCTTCTGTTCTTCTGAGCCTAGAATCCTCCCCTCATCGAATCTGCCGACGTCTTCGTACCCAAATGGACCGATGTGATTTCCAAAGATAATGTAATTATTACGGAACTTATTATTATCATCCGAGTATTAACAGATTATTACGGATTACGTAAACAATTCAGTAATAAGTGGTATCAGGCACGACAACAATCATAAGTCGGACCTGAGTCTGAGGTTTTTTACGTTTTGAAGAACAAACAAATAAGGAAATAAGCTCGCAACAAAACGTGTTAGGTCACACGAATTGATGAGATCAGTAGTGACTTTCCTACGAACGCGGGAATCAATTTCGACAAATGTGCTCATAGATATAAAGTTAGCTGAGGAAGGCATCACACTAAGCTAAGGTATGTAAGTGACCTAATATTACTATGTTATATCAATAGGTCTCTGGTCTATTGTACGTCAGCGAAGAGTTTTTAAGCTCATAGCTACATACCGTCTACGATAGATGTAGTTGTTAGTTACGATAGGTAGATGGTAAAAATTACAAAGGCTGTATTTATGATTGCTTTAAGACTATCTTCGTTTAGCTTTATCACGAAAGAGACATTTACTGCGATCACCATGCGTTCGCCTAGTTAAGAAGGGTCGAAATGCTGCACAAATGTATATAAAAAGTCGCCTGGAACACTGCATAGGTCAATGGCATGCGTCTTAACCCGCGCCCTGCTGGGGGGGGGGGGGGTTGAACACCCCCCCTTGTGGTTTTTCGCAAATATCTCAAAAACGGCGGCGCGGAGCGCCGCCGTTTTTAGTACACCTCATCATACATCTATTCTACACATGTTGTAAAAATTTCAGACCCAGGTCATTCAAGGTCAGGTCACCAGGTCACTTGAAGTGACCTCACCTCATAAAAAGTTTCAATGTCTGTCATAGCTACACCGAGTGACCGATGGCTTTGAAACTTTCAGCGATTGCTAAGAGCAATAGCATGTACAAAATTTATATATCAGAATTTTGATATCGATGACCTAAGGTCAGGTCAATTTTGCGACCTCCCCATTATAAGTCAATGGGAGAAAATTGAAATGCGCCTCTTTTGGATGAAAGACATTATGAACACTCCCCAACACCAAATTTCAAGTGGTTTAGACACACTGAACATGAAAATGGTGCCCGTGACCCTTGTTTATGCCCTGAGGTCATCTTAGGTCACGAATGTTATCTAACAGTTTTTCGCAAATAACTTTTGATAGAGGCACGCTAGAGCGATGAAAACGCCTTAGATGTGTTCAGCTCGACGATACGGATCGACTGATATGCAACATGACCCTTTCCGGTCAGGTCATGACCTTGACCTGAGGTCAAATTTTCAAGTTGACCTTTCAAGGTCAAGTTATAGTTCATTCGATGCGTCTTGATGAGAGGAACACGATGCCGGTAAAAGTAAGCTCGTACAAGGCTTGAGTCAAAAGGTATTGCAGAAAAACTGTTTTCGAAAAAAATCGGCTATTTTTGCAGTTTTTGCCCCCTGCAGGCAAAACCATTGACGTTAGGTCAAATCTGAGAGGATTGCTCAGAAAGGGCGTTAATAGGGCTATCGAATGCGCTTTTCCGCGGCGCTGTAGCTCTATTGGTTCCCGAGTTATGCGTTGGCTTCTTGGAAATTTTCGACATTTGACCTGGAAATCGGCGAAATTTTGCCTTCAATGACCTCTGGTGACCTGACCTACCTTTGACCTGACTAAAAAATTGACCGAAGTGATTTCGTCATCATTTTTGACGCTCTTTCGAACGCCGCCTTCCGCGTATCGCTACGTGGCCCAGGAGCCGAGTTACAAGGGGGGGGGGGTGTTCAAACACCCCCCCCCCCCCCCCCAGCAGGGCGTGGAAATCCAGGACCCCCAGCCGGGCGCGGGTTAACTGGGCAGAATAGATCGTCCTGTAAAAACATTCAGCCCAAGATTCAACCTGGGTCAATGCCAAGCCAATCAAGTGCCGAAAGTTATCATTCTCTGGGACGCCATATCATTCTCTGGGGCGCCTTGTCATTCTCTGGGACGCCTTATCATTCTGTGGGACGCCATATCATTCTCTGGGATAGAGTAGCTCTCTGACAAATAAATGTTACATTTCACAAAGCAATGTGTGATGAACAAAACATCGATTGACAGGGCAAGATGGATTGAAGTTCAAAAGTAGTGTGTCACAATTTTTATGAGGCAAGAAGTTGCGTATGCTCAAATAGCCCAAATGGTGTTATGTTAAAAAAGACATATTTTAATGATCTGATAAGGCGTTTTATTATCGTGAAAACGTAATATTTACCAATCTTCGGTGGCATCCAGGAAGCAGTGGTCGTGAGTCCTTTCTCCTCGCATTTCATGGCATCTGGAAGAAAGAACAGCGTGTTACATCGATGTCCATGCTGCATGCTTGCATGCTTTCATGCTTCTCGTTTTGCTACAAATGAGGGCGCACGGTACTAAGGTGAATTTTTCATTCACCAACGATGAATGTAGGTTGATTATGAAAATGGTTACACCCTAACTGAAACGAGATTCATAGACACCTGTCATCGCAATCACATATTTCTTTATTGGAATATTTTATTTCTAGTGTTTCTATAAATATGCATCACGCGATGAAGTCGAAAAGTAGTTCATAGATCAGGATAATTAGTGAACCACCGGGAATCTGTTATAGGCGGAGCGAATTCGACTCTTTTAACCACTGAACTCTATAATGTGGAATGCGCATCGGCCGCCAAATGGTGTCCAACGGTGCCGCCATGTTGCGCAGACCAGAAAGCAGCCGCCGCCTGTGCTGGGGAATAGGGAATTCGGGACCTCGATTTACGTTTGCGGTCGCTGCATCCGTTACGCTCAAGCTATGTGGACACAGAACCCGGCATCTTACGCAGAATTGAGTGGAGAACAAGATGAAATCCTAAAAAATCCTCAGCTATAAGGAACTAATACGTTAAACCCTTATAAGTCAATGGGGAAATATGAAAATTGTTATTTTGGCGCCGAGAATGATCTGAAACTATCTCAAGCATATAAAATCATGATTTCATGCACTCTTTGCAAGGTTCTATGCTTCATATTTGCATTGTTGCCCTTGCGTGACGTCATTTGTGACGTCACAAGGGTCACCATTTTTCTTCAATAACTCCCGATCAAATTGAGCTAGCGAGTCGGGAAAGCCACCAATGGACTCAGGAAGACCTGCCGAATCGAATGATATGCGACATGACCTCTTTCGACCAACTTCGTGACCTGGGGGTGCTGACCTGACCTTGACCTGAGGTCAACACCCTAAGTTGACCTGACCCGAACAAAAAGTATATCACTCGATGCGCCTGAGCTAGCTGAACACGATGATGCCAAAATCGCGGCTCTACGGCCATTTTTGGCGAAGTTATTTACCAAAAACCGAACCCGTGCCTTAGATCACTTGACCTGACCTCAGAGGTCACCGGTTGACCTGAGACCCTTACAGCGGGTTCCTACCAGTCACTCTGCATTATACTTTGCCGCATACGACCACTTTACCGCTTAATTCTAGTTTAATTAGCGGTGCATTAGCGAGGTGGGTTCAATCAACCCCCTCGGCCGGGGCAAATGTAGGTCAGGCGAGTGAATTTGAGGAATTCTGAAGATACGATCGTGTTTCCCACTCAATTCTGCGAAAGATGCCGGGTTCCGTATCTACGTAACTTGAACGTAACGGATACGGCGGCCGCAGACGTAAATCGAGGTCCCGAATTCCCTATTCCTCAACACAGGCGGCAGCCGGTTTCTGGTCTGCGCAATATGGCCGCCACCGTTAGACACTACGGCCAATAGGGTTGAAGCGGCATTGCTCCCCTGTGCTTTTAACTCATCGTCACGTGCTGTGACACACGTGTATTAAAACTGTTACATCGCCAACTAGGCAAATCTATTGCGATGAGCCTAATTATAGTTATCTAGGTATTCAAGAACGTCAATTTGATATGGTTGAAATATGAAATTGGTTTGAATCTAACTAGTTAAGAGCTAAAATACTGAAACCTCTTCTATGTCGCAAGATTGACCGTGGTGATACGCCCGTCCCGATTACTCGCCAGGGCGGTAATAATCCACCCCCTCCCCGTGTGTCGCCCGTCTGACCTTGTCCCGGTGTGTCGGTGGCCGCGCCGCCCTGCAGGACGGGCGCGCTCGGTCGGCCGCAGTCCGTGTCTCCCTCCTTAGCCACGCCGGACGGGCCGCGCGGCCGTCCGGTGCTGCACTTGTAGCCGTTGGCCACGGTAGTGCCTTTGGGCCGGCCCGTGCTGACTTTGTAGCCGTTAGCGCGCGTTGTGCCGCGCGGCCGACCGCCGCTCACCTTATAGCCGTTAGCGCGTGTGGTCCCCTTGCGCCGGCCGCCGCGACAGCCCACCTTGTAGCCATTGGCGCGGGTGGTGCCCAGCGGCCGACCCAGTCTCTTGTTGGCCGTCCACGCGCCGGACTCGCGCGTCTGACCCTTCTTCCTGCCGCGTCGTTTTTTCTCGGCGGGCTCGGTGTCGGCGCCGGCGGCCGAGCAGGGTGTCGCCCCGGGAGGCGCCGCGGTCGGGGTGAGCGGGGTGAGACACACATAGCCGGCCGGGTCGCCGCTGGGCCCCGGCGGCGTGCCGTAGCCGGCCGGCGACGGCACCGGCGTCGGGTAGCCGGCGCAGTAGGCTCGCGCCGCCGCCGGGTAACCATAGTAGCGGGGGTAGTGAGGCGGCGCGGCGGCCGCCACCGACACGGGCGCCGGCGGCGGCGGCGCGGCCGACAGCGGCCCCCAGAGCAGGTGCTCATAGGCGCGCGGGTCGATGGGCTCCTGGTCGGGAGACGGCGGCGGCGGCGGCGCGCCACTGCTGGCCTGGCCGCACAGCATGGCCGCTGAGTGGGCGCCCACAGGTGAGCCGACCGTGACCGGCGCGGCCGACGGCGGCGGCGGCGGCGGCGGCGGCTGCAGGCCCAAACGGAACGGAAACCTGCGCCGGCACACAGACAGACAGACGTGTCAGCGGACCGGGCACAGGGCGACAGTCACGATACATATAACGAGATAATCCTTGATGCGAGACATGACAAGATATACAGCGGATGCGCATGCTATTGCACAATGCACAGTGGATAGGCACGTATGTTGTATTAAATAATCTAACTTTCTTACTTCAGTAACTAAGTCTTAACACTTCCATAAAAGATGTACAAGTATGTACTTCGTACAGTGCATGACTTGGTGAGGCATATCTATAAATACAGAAAATTAATTCAATAGAAAGCAGTCGAGCTTACTCTGCCTATTTGAGATGTTCGCGATAAAAATCGTTTTATCATTAAATTTCAGTGCTAAAGAAAATCAGTGTGTTGTGATATGTAGGTCAGGTGAAAATTAATGTACGAGTACATGGGTATATGGAGTTTGTATAAATTCTCCGTTGCACCTATGTAGGACGCCGGCGGGTGGTTTTAACCAGGGCTGCAGAGTCGATGGATTTTCGGCGACTCCGACTCCGACTCCGACTCCGGGCAGAATTGTCGACTCCGACCGACTCAAACTCCCGACTCCGACTCCGCAGACCTAGCAGAGCTGCGGAGTCGACAGATTTTCGGTGACTCCGACTCCGACTCCGGCTCGGGTTTCTAAAATCGACTCCGACTCCGACTCCGACTCCGGTCACAACTGTCGACTCCGACCGACTCCGACTCCGACTCCGACTCCGACTCCGCAGCCCTGGTTTTAACTTTTGAAAACTTCGATGAAAACGTGGATAAACACAAAACGCATTTCAATAAAAACAAACATTGTCTCGTATAACTAAGTGATGAATACAGTGATAAGTGTTGTCGTTGATACATTTCAGTCAGCTCGTTTGCCCACTCCTGATGTATAATCCATGATAAGTGGCACTGATTCATTCTTTCATTACAATTTGCTCAATCAATCTGTTCTGCCTGATGTGACCGAGAGCTCGGTCACGGGCTGTGGGCTCTTAAAAAGGGCCTAGATAGCTCTAGCCTGTATACCAGTAGACTGAAGAATAACTAGTCTCGGTGGCCGGGTGTGGACGGGGGCGTGGGGGGACGGGAGCGGGGGGCAGGTGCCGTCCCCTGGCGTTGAAGTGACCAATAGACTCGGAAAGACCATCCAAATCGCATCATATGCGATGTGACATCCTTCGACCAATTTTGTGACCTGAGTGGCTTTGACCTGATCTTGACCTGAAGTCAACACCCTCGGTTAACCTCACCAAATCATAAAGCCGACTGGACGCGCTCGAGCATTGCACAAGCACGAAGGTGCCAAAATCGCGGCTTTGCGACGATTTTTGGTGACGCTATTTACCAAAAACCGAGCCCCTACCCTGGGGCGCTTGACCTGAGTTCAGAGGTGACGGGTTGACCTGAGACCCTAAAATTGGGTACCAGTCGCTGCGTCTCGTAAAAGCAAACATGCTCGTTTTTTTCTGCGAGGCTCTACGCTCAGTTAGGGACGAAACGGCGAGCGCAGGGTCCACCCGCCATGGACAAACATATAGGCTTGTCGAGGACTAAATTGATGCAAGCAAATTTGTCATTATCAATTAATATTTGTTATTCAATAAGCATGCATATTGTATGTGCTGTACCTACTACTCAATACTGATCTGTGAAAGTAATGTATGGATTGTTCATGCTTCATTAAGCGTATATTTCCCGTAAGAGTGCAACTTTAACACTCGCCGGCACAGGGGGGGGGGGGGGTTGATGCACCCCCCTAAGGTTTTTCGCGAATAACTCGCGTAAAAAGCAGCCGATCGCGACGAAACTTTCAGTACCCTCGCATTTATCAATTTTACACCTATACTGAAAATTTCATGACCCTGACCTAAATGACCTTTGACCTGTGACCTCTTTTCCGAGACCATGTTTGGCCGTAATCGCGATTCGGCGTATCGTATGTCGGCTCGCATTAGCAGCGCGTTTGCAAGCTTTTCGTGGTTTCAAACGTTCAAACATGTGATTTGATGTTGCTCCCATACATTAGGGTGGGTGTCAAGGGCACCTGAAGGTCAGGTCAGGTCATTGACCTTTGGTGACCTCGGGTGACCTCGGTTCACTTTTTCGAGTTTTACATGTTTCTAGGCTAGTTTTTGGAGCTGAATTCGAATTTAGCAGCCATTTGAACATTTACAAAGTAGTTTTGGTGCCTTTGTAACATGTTACGAAGCTGTCAGAGGCGGTTGACACGTATTACGAATACCCGTCACAACCCCCTACCGGTTGACCTGACCTGACCTGACCCGACCTGGTCTAAATGCTTAAAGACATCATCTCTGATCAAAACTAACACGATATATTCGTGATCAGCACCCCGGAAACCACATAGCAGCCACGCTTTACGACTTTCTAACAGGTCCCGATTTTCCCGGTTTTCGGGTCATTGACCTGACCTGGAAGGTTACCCGATGACCTAGGACCTTAACCCACGCCCGGCTGGGGGTCCTGGATTTCCACGCCCTGCTGGGATGGGGGTGTTTGAACACCCCCCCCCCCTTGTAACTCGGCTCCTGGGCCACGTAGCGATACGCGGAAGGCGGCGTTCGAAAGAGCGTCAAAAATAATGACGAAATCACTTCAGTCAATTTTTTGGTCAGGTCAAAGGTCAGGTCACCAGAGGTCATTGAAGGCAAAATTTCGCCGATTTCCAGGTCGAATGGCGAAAATTTCCAAGAAGCCAACGCATAACTCGGGAACCAATAGAGCTACAGCGCCGCGGAAAAGCGCATTCGATAGCCCTATTAACGCCCTTTCTGAGTAATTCTCTCAGATTTGACCTAACGTCAACGGTTTTGCCTGCAGGGGGCAAAAACTGCAAAAATAGCCGATTTTTTTGGAAACAGTTTTTCTGCAATAACTTTTGACCCAAGCCCTGTACGAGCTTACTTTTACCGGCATCGTGTTCCTCTCGTCAAGACGCATCGAATGAACTATAACTTGACCTTGAAAGGTCAACTTGAAAATTTGACCTCAGGTCAAGGTCATGACCTGACCGGAAAGGGTCATGTTGCATATCAGTCGATCCGTATCGTCGAGCTGAACACATCTAAGGCGTTTTCATCGCTCTAGCATGCCTCTATCAAAAGTTATTTGCGAAAAACTGTTAGATACCATTCGTGACCTAAGATGACCTCAGGGCATAAACAAGGGTCACGGACACCATTTTCATGTTCAGTGTGTCTAAACCACTTGTAATTCGGTGTTTGGGAGTGTTAATAATGTCTTTCATCTAAAAGAGGCGCATTTCAATTTTCTCCCATTGACTTATAATGGGGAGGTCGCAAAATTGACCTGACCTTAGGTCATCGATATCAAAATTCTGAGATATACATTTTGTACATGCTATTGCTCTTAGCAATCGCTGAAAGTTTCAAAGCGATCGGTCACTCGGTGTAGCTATGACAGACATTGAAACTTTTTATGAGGTGAGGTCACTTCAAGTGACCTGGTGACCTGACCTTGAATAACCTTGGTCTGAAATTTTCATAACATGTGTAGAATTGATGTATGATAAGGTGTACCAAAAACGGCGGCGCTCCGCGCCGCCGTTTTTGAGATATTCGCGAAAAACCACAAGGGGGGGGGGGTGTTCAAACACCCCCCCCCCCCCAGCAGGGCGCGGGTTAAAATTGGGTATCATCGGCTTCCTCTCGTGACGGGCAGCACGCTCGTTTTTTTTCCGCGAAGCTCTAGCTCGATCAGGGGCCAAACGCGAGGGGGGTCGTACCAACTTGTGCCGTCGAAGGACCCAAAATGGCCTGTGCCGGCGAGGGTTTTGACGTCATTTTTAGGTGACATTTGAAGCGGCGCGCGCTGACTTTCTGCGTGTAAATACTGCGCTGGGCTGCTCATCCGGTGGTCAGGCGACGCAGTTATAAACAAAGTTCCATCCACTAACTAACTGAGCAACGTCGCTGGAATACCTAGAAATCCCTACAAGAGAGATGAAACTTCGGACTCGTTATGTAAAATCGGTATGCCTGGTAGGCATCCATATGAAATGTTAAAAATATGCTGCCTTCATCTTTGCAGCGCATTGAATTCCCACGTTGAATGGCATCGATCATTAATCATGGACTACGGAGCCGAGACATACATAAATAGGTCATCAGTCAGTCGCAAATGCGCGTTTGCGTTGTTCCTACGCCGCAGGCAATCAGTGGCGGATCCAAGGGGGGTCACATGGGTCATGGCCCCCCCTTGAGGCCCGGGGGCCCAAAGACCTGCCAGGGGCACCACCGGCCTATCAGGGGTATCACAGTCCTGACAGGGGCACCACAGGACCGCCAGGGGCACCACAGGCCTAGCAGGGACACCACGGGCCTGGTGCCCCTGGGCCCTGACAGGACTGTAACGCCCCTGACAAGCCTGAAGTGTCCCCGGCAGGCACGTGGTGCCCCTGACAGGCCTGAGGCGCCCCTGCAAGGCCGGTGGTGCCCCTGGCAGGCCTGTGGTGTCCTTGGCAGGCCTGTGGTGCCCTTGCTAGGCCTCTGGTGCCCCTGACAGGCTTGTAATGCCCCTGGAAGGACTGTGGTGCCCCTGGCAGGCCTCTGGTGCCCCTGACAGGCTTGCGGTGCCCTTAGAAGGACTGTGGTGTCCCTGGGCCCTGACAAGCCTGGGGTGCCCCTGACAGGCCCGTGGTGCCCTTGTTAGGCCTGTGGTGCCCCTGGCAGGCCTCTGGTGCCCCTGGCAGGTCTGTGGTGCCCCTGGCAGGTCTGTGGCGCCCCTGGCAGACCTGTGTTGACTGGTGCCCCTGCTAGGTCGCTGGTGCCCCTCACAGACCTGTGGTGCCCCTGGGTCTTGACAAGCCTGAGATGCCTGACTATGACAGGCTAGTGGTGCCCCTGA